CTTCTACAAAATGTAATTTTCACTATCCAATTACAGAGAGAGACTGCTAAACTGGAATTCATTTACAAATTTTACACTGTTACCTGGGACTTGAATAAAGACTTTAATGCAGGACTGGGCAAATTATCGCCCAGGGGCTGGATCTGGCCCAACAAGGTACTGGATCCCGCCTGTGGACCACCCTGCTTGGACCCTCAGGCACACAGTTGCCAGGGTTTAAAGCACAGTCTGTGCAGCTGTCTGCTCTGAGGGAAGGCTTCCTGTGATCTCCCTGCCCCCAGCCCATTCCTCAGCTCCTATTGACTGGAAACAACCAGCCAATAGCAAATGGCACCAGCCAATCTTTCAGTGAGAGATTGGGCTGGGGATGGCGGCAGTGCAAGCCTCTTTCTCCTCCTGGGGCTGAGAGCCACATGAAGGGAACAGCCTGAAGTTTAAAGTGATCTGGGGCTGCAGCAGGCAGGGAGCCCAGCCTGCTTTGGTGGTGGTGCAGGCCAGGGGATACCCAAGTAAGCCCTCCTAGCCAGAGCCTGCCTCTGGCATACAAATCTCATTGTCAACTCTGTCCACATAGCTATACAAGTGATGACATCACAGGATCTAACCATATAAGCTATGAAGTACCAACAATGCCGTTCTGCCATGTATATTGGCCAAACTAGATAGTCTCTGCAACAAAGGATAAATGGACTCTGGTTACGACTCACTCCCAGACCCTGTACCCCCTCCTACATTGCTCCCCCCAGGCCAGGATCTTCTCCAGCACTCAAACACCCTCCCAGACACCACATCCGACTCCCCTGTCCCAAGTCACCACCCTCTGTAGTGTGCACATCTTTTTCCCCTTCTCCCAGGTCACAGCACCCTTCCAAACTTTGCACTCCCGCCTATTGCCCCTCTCCCAGGCCAGAATCCCTCCTGCACCCATACCCCCATCTCCTGACCCAGGTCATAGCCCCCTCCTTCACCCAAACTCCCTCTCAGGCCTCACACTGCCTCCTGCACCCCACTCCCTTATGCTGTGCTTCCTTCTGCACCCAACCTCCATCCTAGACCGTACTGGATCCCGCCTGTGGACCACCCTGCTTGGACCCTCAGGCACACAGTTGCCAGGGTTTAAAGCACAGTCTGTGCAGCTGTCTGCTCTGAGGGAAGGCTTCCTGTGATCTCCCTGCCCCCAGCCCATTCCTCAGCTCCTATTGACTGGAAACAACCAGCCAATAGCAAATGGCACCAGCCAATCTTTCAGTGAGAGATTGGGCTGGGGATGGCGGCAGTGCAAGCCTCTTTCTCCTCCTGGGGCTGAGAGCCACATGAAGGGAACAGCCTGAAGTTTAAAGTGATCTGGGGCTGCAGCAGGCAGGGAGCCCAGCCTGCTTTGGTGGTGGTGCAGGCCAGGGGATACCCAAGTAAGCCCTCCTAGCCAGAGCCTGCCTCTGGCACCCCTGCCCCTCCTGCACCCCAACTCCATCCCCCAGGTCACCATCCAAACCCTCTGCACTTCCCTGCCCCTGGTTACGACTCACTCCCAGACCCTGTACCCCCTCCTACATTGCTCCCCCCAGGCCAGGATCTTCTCCAGCACTCAAACACCCTCCCAGACACCACATCCGACTCCCCTGTCCCAAGTCACCACCCTCTGTAGTGTGCACATCTTTTTCCCCTTCTCCCAGGTCACAGCACCCTTCCAAACTTTGCACTCCCGCCTATTGCCCCTCTCCCAGGCCAGAATCCCTCCTGCACCCATACCCCCATCTCCTGACCCAGGTCATAGCCCCCTCCTTCACCCAAACTCCCTCTCAGGCCTCACACTGCCTCCTGCACCCCACTCCCTTATGCTGTGCTTCCTTCTGCACCCAACCTCCATCCTAGACCCACATCTCCTCCACATGAAAGTGCAGCCCTTGACCACTTTCCAAAATCTTGGAGTGGCTCCCCCACGAAAAATTATTACCCACTCCTGCATTCACTGGTTAATGCACTACAAAGTCTATTTACCCGTCACATTTTTACATCAAAAGTTATGAATGGGAAACATCCAGCCCACTTAATTAGTTTCATTGATATATGTCCTACAATTGACAGGTAACTGCTTTTTCTGTTATATATAGCTTGGATTGTATTATTTCCATTCTTACTCATCTAATGTAGTGGATTTTATCCACAAAAGCTATGATCCTGTATATTTTTGTTAGTCTCTAAAGTGTCATAGGACTACACATTGTTTTTAAAGTTATAGTCTAATACGGCTACCCCTCTGAGACAGGCACAATACTGGAATTCTAACTATGGCATATTTAAGAAAAAATCCAGTTAAAATAAGACAAAAGTAGAAACAAATTAGAACCAAAAGAGTAATGGACTGAAAACAGCAGCAAAAAATATACTACAGGTGCTGTGGCTGGACAAAATTTTTCAAAAATATGATTTGCAAAGGTACCTATATAAGTAAAGAGACCAATCTATTTTATTGCTTTCACTCTGTAAAATATAATCTATTTTTGTTAAACTGTATTGAATAGCACTGCTCCCAAGATCAAAGGTTGGTAAAAGGCTGGCTGCACACCAGCATCTGCAATATTTATTCAGATAGAGAAAGGTTCCACTGAATGTTTGGGAGGAGCAGGACTGAAATTACACTTTGAATGTATGGCAAGGTGACTGTGACTCTACCTAAGCAAGTTACACTGAGTGGGTGGAGGGAGATGGAAGGTGTTCACTGGGTTCCTGGGGGAGAGAGGGGAGAAATAGAGTGGATTTCCAGTGCTGTCAACTCTCACAATGTTAACAATTCTTTTGATATCAGTTGGTATTTTTAAAAGCCCTAGTTACTGAAATCAAAACATTAAATGAGAATCTCAAATTTCATTAAAACTAAATTTCTAGCCATTAAGGTGGTAGAGGAAAAGTTCAAACAATTAACCAAGGGCATCCTAAAGGCTAATAAACCAAAAAGCAAATAAAAAGAAATCAGTTTATTGTTTTAAATTTCATTATAAGCCAATTTCCTGATTTTTTTTAAACATTTGAGATAGGCAATGCTGAATGTCACTATTCTGCAGGGGTTAGCACTGCATCCAAACAGAGGGGAATCAAGATGGGCTATTCTAATTTCTTGGATACAGTTACACTGTGCGGGACTGGAGAAGAATGGAAGATGGGGACAGGTTACCATAACAAAAGTATGTTTGCTAGAAGATGATAGGGGTACACTGTGCCCTAGTTATGGATAGCAGCCTGTATCTGAAGGGAATGGGTGTTGCAGATGGTGCCTTGGTCAGGGAGGGCAGCCTGTGTCTGACAGGGGCAAGTGTTACACATTGCGCCCTGGTCATGGAGGGGGGAAGTCTATGTCTGATGGGAGGTGGGAGTTGCACAGTGTGCCCTAGTCATGGGGAGCAGCCTGTGTCTTATGGGGTCAGGTTTTGGATACTGTACCCTTGTCATGGGGGGAGGTGTGGAGTGAGAAGGGCGGCCTGTATCTGACAGGGGCAGGTGTTGCATGTTGTATCCTAGTCATGGGGGCAGACTGTGGGTACCAGACAGACAGAACATATGCTGTGCCGATGCCTGGGTAGCCTGTGGGTGCAGGGGAGAGGGACACACACTGCGCCCGGGGCAGGAGGGCAGCATGTGGGGGCGAAGGACAGGC